ATCAATTGTTAATAATAATAATAATAATAATAATAATAATAATAATAATAATAATAATAATAATAATAATAATAATAATAATAATAATAAATGATTATTATTATAGTCACCACACCTTCATGCAGTTATCTTATTAATGCACATAAATGTTCTAATTTAAAGAACCAACACTTGGTTTAAATGAGAAATTATGGACCTCTAAAACCACCTTTACAAGTGGCTGATAAAGGAGAAAAGGGGTGGGAGGGATATTAATAAAAAGCAGGTGAAATAGGCAACTACCCAAAGTCCATTCAATAGCACTCGTCCTCTTAAAGTTGGGGGAAAATCAGGAAACCACATCGTTAGGAGGGCTCTTCCTTCCTAGTCCCTGGGAGAGCAAGGCACTCCTCCTCTGAGCAGGGACTGTTCAGGAGCTTTTCATTCCCACACCCAGGAAGCCGGGAGGGGGTGGGGGGCAGAAATGGTTAGGGTCCTCTGGAATGACGCTTCCCCTCCCCATGTCTCCCTATTTTTTTGCACGGCCTGCCCCTGCGGCACCCGGAGGCTGTTCCAGCTGCCCGCCGGTGGGAGACCCGGCCTGTACAGGATGCTGTGCTGCCCGGACCAGGGATGGCGGCTAGGTAAGGAGGCCCGTGGGTGAGGGGGGGGGACTGCTGGGCTCGTTCTCCCGCACCCCACGATGGGCTTTATAGTCCTTTAGGACAGGAATCTGATCCAAGGTGGGAAAGGCGGACCTTGGGATTTTTCAATTCTTTGGGCATGTGCAGAGTTACAGTTTGTATCTTCCCCATGAGGCTGGCCCTTAAGGAAAGGATGAAAGGGAGTCTGGGTGAATTTCCCTCCCTCCCTCCCTGTCTCTTCCTCCAAACCCTAGGAAATGCAGGGCAGGACTCAGCCTTGTAGTCCTCTCCCTCACGTTTCATTGCATTAAATGATTTGAAGTTCTTAATGGTTGTTTGTTTTATTTATTTATTTATTTATTTATCTATCTATCTATCTATCTATCTATCTATCTATCTATCTATCTATCTATCTATCTATCTATCTATCTATCTATCTATCTATCTATCTATCTATCTATCTATCT